GGGCCAACCCTCAGACAGCAAAGATTGGGGCGGGGTGGGGGGTGTGGGGGGGGAGAAATTAATTCACTCTTGATTTACTGGTACAATGGACCTAGAAAGCGTAGTCTGGTTGATCCGGCGCAGTATTGGTGTGCTAGCGGCAAGCGCCAGTGGTTAGAAGCTGCACGGCAGGACTAAGGCTGCGGTTAACATGTGCATTCTGGTAGGAAAAAAAAAAAAAAAAAAAAAAAAAGAACAAGTTGAGAATTCAGCTCCTTTTAATATTAAACCTATGCGCAGGATAATTCTTTCACAGGCGTGCAGACATATGAAGTAATAGTGCTGGGGCAATTCAAGTGTAGCACAGCATGTTTCCATTTGGGGCAATAGCTGGCTCTCCCGGCTAATGAAGGTACTCTTAATGCCAGGTCTCTCCAGCTAAAGGACAAATACCTTTTTACCGCTACTTTTTGGAGGGGGTGAAGATCACATGAGGGAAGAGTTAGAAAAGTGCAAAAGCAAACATCCTATAAAGCAAGGGGAATTTTTCATTTTGCCAGTAATAACCACTCTACTCAGACTTATGGAGGAAAACGGCCACTTCTCAATAAAGTTGAAATCTCTCATAACTCAGGTTAGAAAATACACATTCAATTTACTCGGCTAGATTTCATTGATCTACCACCTTCATATTTCCTTTTAATTCCCATAATGCACATATTTTTCTCCTCTATTTATAATTTATTCTTATTATTGATGCTAGGTACATCAGCAAAAGCTGAATAATTCTCTAAATGAGTGGAAAGAGATGAAGAATATTGTTTCCATGATCTGCCTGGTTTCCTGATCTGCCTGGTTGACATATTATTGTCTATAATGGTTTGCAGTAGGGTCAAAAATCTAAAAATCTCTAACATTAAATAATACCGTTTGTTTCCTTTTTGAAGTCTGTTTAAGGACAGGCAGCTCCGGGGAGAACAGGGAAACTCAGTACATCAGTCAATACCATCAGATCCTCCAAGGTAAACGGAAGATCCAAAAAACACTGAAGTTATCCCAGTAGAGCAGGGCAATGATTGATGTTTTCACCCCAGTCTTCCTCTCCAAAGGAAGTCCTGCCCTTGTACGTAGATTGACATTCTCCAAAGCCTATATATCCCAGCCCCCGTAGAAGGAGGCCATGTGCATTGAGGTACGCCCAGTACCTTACACTTCTTTTGAAGATATGCATACCAGCCAGCCCATCCTCAGTCTACCCTCTCAAGAATTGTATGAATGTTCTTATTCAGCCTCAGTGTTGGATAAAAAATTCTTCTGCACAGAATATAATGTCCCAGAACATAGTGCAAGGCTGGCTATGCACCAGAGGAGCTTTCTCACTTGTTCTACCCCACTGTATATGGCAAAACTATAAAACTTCAAAGGTGCAGAGACCAGACTGTGGGTTGTCTGCGGAATGGAATGGGTAGAACACCAGGAGCCTTTCCCTTGTGCAGATGAATTTCTGGTTATGACTGGGCAGATAATTTAAATTATACATATCTAAATGCCTTCTTGCTTGAATGTATTTGTTTTATAAAAGGAGGAAAAAAGAAATGGAACATGAGTAAGTACATCCGATTTTCTGAAATTTTTCTATGGCTCCATTAAAGAGGCAAAATTAAGTAGGTAGAAAAAAAATCCTGACTTTAGATAGCATTCACCTTAAAATGTGTGCAGCATGATAACTTTGCTCTGTTATAAAGGTAATAATTTCCAATGCTTAAGCTTTTGGGGTTCATAGTAAAAAGAAAGTAAGAGTTTCAGACAAATCAGAAACAAGGACTCCCAACATTCCCAAGACCATGCCTTTCCCCTGTCCCCCATCCCCCAAGCCACGTAGGTAACTTTGTCTTTACCCTTGAAGATCAGGAAAGAGTTTCCTGGGAAGGTACCAGACTCATCATTACCTTGACCCTTTCACATCTGTTTTGCATTAGGCACCTGCCATAAACCAAAATGCTCAGCCTGTGTGCTAGGGACGGAGATGACAGAGGAATCATAGCATGCCGCCCTTCTTTTCAATGAGTAGAGTAACAAATCTCTGAGGAGGCTAGAGAGCTGAAGACAATAAAGAAACATAACAGATAGCTTTAATAAACTAAAAATAGTGAGCCCAATGTATCTTCTAGCTTCCACAGAGCTTCCTGTCTTTGAGATGAGCTCTATCATTGCCTTCTTCTGCAAACAGTACCATAGGGACAAGAGCTGTTATGTGCTGCAGTGTTTAATACACATCAACCTTCTTTCACAGGCCAGCTTTCCACAGCCTTGTGCCTTGCCTAGTCATTTGTATTTGCAGAAAATGAGCGCAAGAATACTAGCTTCTGTCAGTGGCAGCAAGGAAGCTCCAACAAACAGGACATTACCATGACATGGGAGCTTCACTTTCACCACAAAGTCCTTGGGTGCCTCTAGGTAGATCATTTAATCCCTGCTTGGCCTTAATTTTAACCAGTTTTAAATTTACTATATGTCTCTTAACTATAAGCAATACTGCAGTGGTTTTGAGGCTCTTGAGTGTAAATTTGAGAAGTCAACCAAGGAGATTTCCTTGTCTTGGCAGCAGCTTCCACCAAGTTTTTGGCAAGTGTAATGGTGAAGCGTTAGGAAGCAAAGCAGCAAATTCTGAAAATCTTTTTTTCAGAGATGCTGACAACAATGGTTAAAAAGTATAGTGAAATATTAGAGAATGTGGGTTTTGTTTGGTTTGTAGGGCTTTTTATAACTTCAGTGAAAAAGTCAGAGTTTGAATCTCTTATGGTATCCTGTTGGATAAACCAAGTGCTCGGCTCGGCTCCTCTACAATCTGAGGCCCATTTAGGAGATGCAAAGATGTTGCAGTCCCACTGGGATTTAATTTCCTACTTTGCTAAAAGACAGAGTTGCCACTTTCATATTAAAACACTTCATCCCTGAAGCATGCTCACTGCACCATCAGTATTCACATCTAGTTCTTTGTCTCTTGCCAAGGAGCAGCTTCGTTACCACAGGAAGGCATAGCAAATAGACAAAATTCCATTGCTTCCTGCAATACAGAGAGATTTTTATTCCTCTTAAACCCACTGTTCATGGAAAACATTTTTAAGAGCACTTCTTTGTCGATTCCTCCCATCTAATGTGATAATAATCCTACGCTTAGCAAGCTCTGATACAGTAAACTTTAACACCTCCAGGAATGCTACAGAACGAAAAATTACTGAGAAGCCCATTAATATCCAGACCGCCCACAGAACACCAGTAGTGTCCAACATTTTCAACCTGAGAGCAAACATTTAACAAAAAGGTGTTATGGACTACAAACCCAGCCACTGCTCTCCTATCTTGCCCAGTTAACAATTCCTTTATGAAGTAAGAGTTGCTGGGTAAATGAAAAGCAGAAAGGGCAGGACAAGGAAACCAGAAAGATGCATCGGTCAGCATGGTAGAAAGCAATCTCCCGTGTGTGGCCACTGCCTAACTGGGGATAAACATCAGGTGGAGGCAGGAGAGTTTTCCTGTGATATCACACCTGTTTTTCCCACGTACTTCAACAGAAGTGGGAAGAAAGATACACCTTCTTCACAGTGCAGCTATAGAGCCGCTTTGCCAAGGCTTCCTTGCTCTTGGAGCACCTTTCCTGCTTCCCCAAGGGCTTGGACTGCCCAGTGGGGTAGCAAATACCAGAATAAATAGAGCTACCCTTGCACCCTTTTGCTGGCAGTGGTCATCCTGGGAGTACTACAGAGACATGCCGAAGCAGAAGTGGTAGCTCTTCGTAACACACTTTGCCCATCTCCTACTTTTGTGGAGGAGATGGCAGGAAGGCAACAGAAAAAGAAGAACTAATTCAGAAGCTCTTATTTAAAAGTCAGAGCTAACAAAGCATGTCACAGGTATAGTAAAGAAGTATCGGTCATCTTACTGCCCAGTCACTTTGCATATTTGTAAGCTAAACAATACTGAAGAGTACATTAATGAACAGAAGCCTATATTTATAACAGCAATAGCGGTTTTTTTCAACACACTCATATTTCAATTTATTTACCTTCATTTCATGTGATTTCTTGCAAAAATCAGAGAGTAGAAACATGTGTTCGTTATAAACTTTGGATAAACTATGCTTAATTTTATGCCTGCCGTAACATCTTAATAGACCCAGATTTTCTTGAAGCTTAACTCAACTGATAATTAATTCATAAAATTTCTCCACTGCTCTCCTATCTTCTCTATTCACAGAATGCCTGAGGTAGCTTTTTCTGCTGTTATTTTTGCTAAGGTTTTTCACAGGTCTTCTGCCACATGCAGCTGACTGAAAAGCCAGAATAAAGGGTATTTTTTCTGGTATCGTAAGTTTTACAGGTATGTGATGAATACCGAATATGATTAAATTATTTTATATGCCTCCTCACTGCCACCTTTAACTGACCTGCATCTGGCTTTTGCCTGGGCAAGCACCTAGCTGGGCTACCACAGGAGATCT